CCTAGTGCAGTAATAGCTAAACAACAATTCAACCTTTCGCTTAACCTCTCTTTATTCTAAGAAGTGGAATCAAAATATTTAAAAAAATAAACAAATGAAAATTGAAAATAAAAGCATGAATATTGATAAAGTGCAATTTAAAATATTAATGAAGATAATTATAAATATCACTTTACTTAAAATACACTCATTCATTAAAAAAAAAATCTTAGATGGGCTCTTATATAAGAGAGGTGATAGGCATAAAAATACAATCTACTAAAAAAAACTACCAACTTAATTTAGTGGCAAGCCAATGAACCACATTTCCATTCACAACATCAAAATATCTTGACAACATAAATATTTTTATCTACCAAATCATCACTCAAAGTGGGACCCAACCAACCATCTTCAAGGAAGCTTCCCACCAAAAACAAACACCACTTCTTTTATAAATTCCATCAAAGTCGCCCCCACAAAATTCAAAATTCCTCTCCCCCCACCATCTTTCCTATGGCTGCTCTCTTAGAGTTCATTGACCAATTCACCAACTTCTCTTCCTTTCACTTCCCTGAATTCTACTCCGATGGCCAGCCGGAGCTCGACGTTTACGACTATGCTGAAGCTGAAGATGCCCATCTCTTTGACGAATCGTGCCTCACTTTCACTGGTGAGACGGAGGCGGTAGCGGCGGCGGCGGCAGTGGTTTCGACCGGAAAAGATGGTGGTGAGCAAAGGAATGGACAGGAGAATGACGAAGTGAAGAGGAGGAAGGTAGAGGCTGAGTTTAGGATTGGATTTAGAACAAAGTCTGAGGTGGAGATATTGGATGATGGGTTCAGGTGGAGGAAGTATGGGAAGAAGGCTGTAAAGAATAGTCCAAATCCAAGGTTTGGTTACATCATTCAATTTGATTTTTTGTTTTTGTGATATCATTGCTTATAATCTTTCATAAAACATTTCTTAAGGCCAAATTTTCAGCTTATTTTTAATGGTTCAACTTTTCTTAGAAAAAGAAATAATAAAAAAAATAAAGTTTTTTAAATGAAAAATAAAAAGATTTTTATTTTGCTTGACTGAAAATTTATATTGATGTATTTTAAAAAAAAGGATTTTTATTTTTTTAATAAATGTTATAGAAAAATTAAATTTTAGAAAGAAAATTTAATAACTCAAGCCATTTCACACAAAAATTTAATGTATTATAAATTTAATGTAAGAGAAAAATCTAAAATTATTAAATTTATTTAAATTAATGTAATACATATTTTTTCAATTAGATTAGTAATTTAATTTAAAAGAAATTTAATGATTTTAAATGCATTC